TAACAATGAATGTCAAAAAGCAACATACGATAGGGAAAATAGTTTTTTTTGTTGCCAAGACGAAAATCCCTGAAATTATACATGGAACACAAATGGAAAAAAAAAACTTCATTTCTTTGACAGTGAATACCTTGAGAATATGCATATGAAACACTGCTAAAGACCCAAAGACACAAGTATTGGAACAAGTTACACAATGTGGGAAGTTTAGCCTAAAGTTAAACTGAAAGCACAGATGTTTTTAATATGTCTCACGTTATGGTGGATAGATTCTGTTATGATAGATTCTGTTTCAGTGTGGTATTTACTACACTATGTTTTGATAATGAAATACATTTTAAAATGACATTTTTTGTGTGTGAGCCACTAAAGAAAAACTATAGTAGAGAAGATATTCTTTCTTAACTACATCTTGAAATGATGTTTTAAATAATAGTTGAATTTGTAAAAATAAAAACTGTTTTATACAAAACTTGTGTAGTGTAATCATCGATGGATTCCTTGTTTTGACTAAAACTTTTTAAAAAAATGAAGGGGAGGATTCCAAGCTAAGGTTATATGTGAGCATTCATGTGAAATTCATTCATGGTACATTTTATAGGAAGTTATTCCAGCAAAGAAGTTGGGGCCAGAATACACAGCACTATAACATGTTAACAATGCAGTTAATTTTGTGCAAATGAGACTTGTAGAGAGTTTTTAAAATTTTTTCTTCATTGTGAAGTATAACACCTGTACACAGAAAATTGCATAAAAATCATCACAAATTAATAATTATAAAATAAACTTTCCTAAACATCTCCCAAGTCAGAAAATAGGGTATTATCAACATTCATGCAAGGGTACAGGCATGTGCAGACACACACACACACACACACACACACACACACACACACACACACGCACACACACACACACACACACACACCTGGTGCCCGCCTCCTTCCCCCTCCCCAGTTACAGTTATCTTTTCTTCCTTAGAGATAATCATCACCTGACTTTTGTGATGATTATTTATTTTTCTATATAGCTTTACTACATGTGCATCCCTAAGCAAACATTTTAATTTTGCTTCTTTTTGAACTTTTTATAAGTGGCATCACACTGTATATACTCTTTTGTGTCTTGATGCTTATGATCATCATCATTTGTCAGATTCATTCATGTGAATGTAGCTGTGGTTTCTTCCTTTCATTCATTTTTATTGCTGAATAACATCCAATGGATATATACACAACCATTTACTTTTCCATCCCATTGTAGATGCATATGTGGGTTATTTGTAGTTTTTGCTCATTACAAACAAAGCCTCAAGGACCACTCTTATTAAATATAGTGGGTATGCTACGTCACAGGGTATGTGTATGTCCAACTTTAATAGATAATACCCAACTGATTTCAAAAATCATTTTAATTATTACACTCTTAACTTCAGGGCATGAGAATTCTCCCCTTAATCCTTTATATACTTGAGTATACTTACTATATGTCAGATATGATAGTAAGTGTTTTACTATTATTGACTTATTTACTACTTATTAATATTTAATATCCGCCCTGTTGAGTACATGTCTTACTATCCTAATTTACAGGAGAGAAAATTGAGGCACAGAAAGAGGCTAAGTAACTTGCCCACAGTTATACAAACAATGAGTTGGGATTCCAACTTAGTAGACTGGCTCCAGAGTCTATGCCCTTACCCACTACACTGTGTTGATATATAAAAATACTTCCTTCATTATGTAATTTTTGTGAAGGAAAACATTGCATGTAACCTATAAAAATGCATATATTATAGGCTTTTTTAACCTAGCTAAACATTTTCCAAATAAAATTTCCATGGGTTTTGAAGCCATTTGTTAAAAATATAAACATTTACAACATCTTCTGATTAGAGTGTAGAAACAAATGAGTAACATTAGGCAAGTTGGAAATGTATGTATCTAATATCATTAGATATTAACAAAAATCTTTACATAAAAAGTGGGGCTGAAAAATAAGTATTATGATTTAGTAACTCAGCTAAGGAAGCAGTTCTTCCATTCAAATTCATTTATCTTCATGAGATCTTTTCAGAGGAACTTGAAGTAAACAAAACGTAAAAGCAGACATCTACATTGCTGTATCACAAAGAGTTAAACTAAGAGTTAAGAAAAATACTGAATTATTGTTCTCTCTAAAAAGCTCTAACAGTAACATTTTAAAGAAAATGTATTTTGTGTCATTGTTAATACAGTTTAAAATTATTTAAAATATAATTTGCTTCATCTTTATTTCATCTATTTATATCTTTATTTCTGTATGTTTTATTGTATTCATTATATATTAACAGGAATATATGCATGTAATTTATAAAGATATTGAGAGTGTGTTCAAAATTCTTTCTTATCGGGTACTCAGCCAAAAAAAGTTTGGAGACTACAGATCTGGTAGCTAGGGCTGTGCTCTAGAGAGCAAGCTTAGGAAAACACCATAGTGGAGTCCTGTGCTGTTGAATAGGGCATCAGGGCTGACTGCTGGGGTGAGAGAGGCGGGGAGAGAGGAAAGAAAGAGGAGATAGGAGGAGGCAACACAGATAAACTGCCGACCTACGTGCCTAGAAACCTGCCTGGTAAAAAACGTATTTATATTGTATTAACTTATCTAATGAGAGATAAAGCTTGCAAATTCACAGAAAAATCATAAAATTCAAGATTAGCATCTTTTTGTTTTTACAACAAGAGCATGCATGTACTTCACATAGAATAACCTAAGCAGAGTCACATGCCAAGGTCAGTAACCATACAGTCAGTCATGAGAAAAGTTGACTTTATTCATTTTATTACTTGGGTAATTCTTCCCAGAGAAGTAGCTGACAGTTTATTACTTCTTTCTTCCAGTGGATTTCTTCTAGTGGATTTCTTCTAAACTGCAAGGCTGCAATGCTGTCAATTCTGTTTGGATAAGCCAAGGTGAAAATCCAGAATCTAACTACCGTAAACTCTTTCAGAAAAGGTGTAAAATGTGCATTTGTTTGTTTGAATTTATATTAGCCACCCACCTCTATCATTGTGTGCAATCGTGTTTTTCAAACAGTCGTTCTGTTTTCCAGTTAAAATGTTACTTAAAAATACCAGAACATATGTTCCTTTGAACCAGGACTGCTTGCTGCTACCAGCATTTTTCAAAGGATTGAACTTCAAAGAAATCAGGTTGTTCAGTCTTCAATATGCCTGCTCTGTTATTTAGTCCTTGAAAAATATATATACAAGTATCTTTATCAAACATTATTGATTGTATCATTTACTTATGCATAATGTTTGTGAATATTTCCATTTGTAGCTATACAGAAATATATTTAATATAAATATTAGATTTAAATGGTGTAATACTCTGCTGATAGACCTTTGTGAAAATCTTAAATACATGAAAAGATAGATTTTTTTCAATATTACTATAATCTGGCTCTACTGTTAACTGTACTAAAAGTTGTGCCATTTACAATGGTAGATTCCTCATAAGTCTTCCCCATCTCTTATATTCCTTCTACTTGCCATCTCTGCTATGCATCTGTGCTACGACCATCCATTGGGCATTATCCCAACTGGGCATTTTACAAGGCTGCTTTGAATGTTCTCTTTTTTTGTTTTCTCTTTTATGTTTACTTTGAGACCCAGGGAGAGCATGCACAGTGTTGGTGGGGGAGGGGCAGAGATAAGGGGAGAGAGAGAACCCCAAGCAGGCTCCGTGGTGCAGAGCCTGATGAGGGGCTCGTTCCCAGGAACCCCAAGCTCATGACCTGAACCAAAATCAAGAGTTGGAGGCTTAACTGACTGAGCCACCCAGGTGCCCCCTCCTTTTTCATTTAATGGCAAGAACAAACCAATTCACCTCCCTTCTGACCTCATACAATACTTCTGATCCTTATTTTTCTCACCTTGCTTTTTACTTTTCACACCCAACTCTATAATCTTGTCTGCAATGAAAAACTATTTTACAGTGAACAATTGAAATTTTCTTAGAAGCTTTTTTTTTTCTCTAAGAAATGCCCAGCTGGTTAACAGCTTGTATCCTTGGGGAATAGTCCTTTGGCATTCAAACATCACCTAACTCAGGCATTTAAAACTTTCAGTTTATCTTAAGGACATTTTTTTTTTTTTCTCTTCCTTTTGTTTTTTACCTTATCCCGAGATCCCCTGGGCATATTCTTACTGACAGTGATCTCCATGGTCCTCTTTAGAGCCCACTCAATGTTTTAAATCTTAATCTGAGACTTCAGTATTATTATTTTTTATTGCTATTCTCACTACTCATCTTCAAATTAAAATATCTGGACTTGCATAGTTATTATTATCTTTCCAGTTATACTACCAGTTTCTTTCCCTGCTATAGCCAGATCCAAACTCCATTCCCAACTGGTAACTCTCCCCTACTCCTACAGGGCCGATACTATTTCTGCTAATGAAGGGGCTTGTCCAGTGTTCTTTCTCAAGATGTTTGGTGTAACAAGCTCCTTCCAGTTTTAGGACCAGGGTGGGGCAAGAGCAATTCAATCTACATTAAAAGATTCAGCATCTTCATTCAAAAGTGTCTAGACTTTTCTCAGTGAAGTGGTAAGTAGCAGAAACAAAGCAAAGATGCTTTTGGACTCATCCCGGTGTCAATTAGATCTTCTCAAAGTTTCCACTGAAATATTCCCCTAAAGAGAGGAACTTGAGCAATACCCCTTACCACGCCCACACCTAAATCCCCATCCAGGCTGCAGCGTAAGTTCCCCACTGCAAGCCCAGGGCTTTAAGTTCTCAAGTTTTGTCTTTTCAGTCATAGTATATTCTTGCTGATTTAATATAAAAATAAAGATTAAATTACTTACCAGCAGGTAAAATTAAAGGGTGTGCATATTTATACTGTGATGTTCCCCCCCACCACCACCACCACATATTTTGCTTTACTACCAAATTGGTAAATCATAAGAACTCATGAAATTCTGAAAGGCAAGAAAACTCTTCTTTCTAGTGAAATCTAGCAAGACATGACATTTTACTGAACTGGTTAGTTAGCAACTACCTTTTTATAGGTGAACAGAAACGAAAGGATCATCGGTATTTGTTATTGGAATGGTTGCCATGTCGGACAAAAATCCTGTTTTTACTGGTCATTATGTCCAACTCTTCAGAGTAGTGGGAAAAGTTTATGATTCTGTGAACAAGAAGAATGAGACACTCAGAAATGTGCAACTCTGCCATAACACAAGAAGCAATGAAGTAGAGAATACAAACAAAACAAAGCAGACACACACAAAAAAAGCAGTTTGCTTTGTTTTGTTTTTTGTTACAAGCATTTTAGTACTCACTAGCTGTAGCCTTAAATGAAACAGTCTGTTACTAGGTCACTACCCATGAACAGTCACAAATTATATACACTGTTAATAACTCCCCACGCTAGACTCTAGAATTAGGAGACACCTTCAGCCACTGGGTTTTATTAACTCACTATGATTTCTAATACATGACTTAGTCCTGTTGCATTAACTGTGATTACAAGGATGTTTTGCTTACAACTCAGTCATGGTCTCAAAGCTTTTTATTGCAGGAGCTAAAAATGATGTAAATACAGTTGCTGTTCTAAACAACTGAGTTAGAAGTGTCACAGGGAGAGGCCAGCTGGGCTGCTCAGGCTGGCCTCAGGATGACATTGCCTCAGTCAAGTCACATTTTCCAGGGCTCATTCCTCAGTTTTGCAAGTCCAGAAACTTAATTTTGTCAGGGTGCCCAGAGCTGATCCTACTCAATGGATGAGTTTGTGCTAACTCAGTGCACAAGAAGCCAGTGTATAACCTAGATTTGCTCATTTATAATGAGAAGGGTAACTATTAAAGGGCCCAGAAACTTATGATATGTGGCCAACACCTTCTTTTCCCTGTAGGGAAGTCTACATGGGAAGCCCACTATTATCCTTTCAGTTGAACAAACGTTTTGTTTTGTTTTTTGAGAGAGAGAGAGAGAGAGAGAGAGAGAGAGAGAGAGAGCAGGGGAGAGGGGCAGAGGGGGAGACAGAGAAAGAGAGAGAAAGAGAGAATTTTAAGCTAGCTCCACGCCCAGCGCAGAGCCTGACACTGGGCTCGATCTCAGGACCATCGGATCAAGACTGATCCAAAATCAAGAGTAAGACACTCAACCAACTGAACTACCCAGGTGCCTCTCAACAAGCATTTATTAGGCATCTAAGGTATAGGTCATTTTGATCCCAAGGATGTTTTGCATATATAAATAAATGGTTAATTGGAATTAAGCCAGCAAGTGGAAATTTGTGCCAATTTAAAACTTGCTCAATCTTCTACAGTTCTGTCTTCTGATTGGCAGATTCAGGCTTAGGAGAGACTAAGGTCTATCTACATGATGGGATTAGCCACAAAGATCATCCAACAGCCACGTTTACAAAGCCATCTTCTAAATATGGTTCTTAACCTAGAGCTTCAAAGGAATCTAATAGCCCACGGAACAAGTATGCAAACAACTGTACTAAATGCACTTGTGTTCTTTACTTCTAGATTCTCATATCAGGGAAAACTTGGTATCTTCTAAACTTCTAAAACTTAGAAACTTCCAGAGCCAACCTGGGCAATCGGGACTATCAATACCACCTGCTGATCAATATTAGGGCATTTCTAGAGTGAATTCTTCCTGAATTTTACAGCCACTTTAACCTGATATCCTCCTTGCTACAGGCCCAGCTATAATGTATCCTGGTCACCTAGATTTGCCCATGCATTTTTCCTGCAAAACTTTTCTAGTTTACCTTCTGTAATTCCAATTGGGGTAGAGGGGAGAACCAGACCATTATTCCTTTATCCTCCTGAAGAACTGTTCTTCTGATCCAAAGAGCCATTTGCTATACTTCCTTCTATCTTTCCTCTTGCTGTCATTTAGCAACCTCCCACTCAACCACCAACCTCCACTTCATACATTGTTCATTATTTTTCTCTCTGCTCCAAATATGTTCATGATCCTCCATGATGTCGATGTCCACATGAATTACTCTTTCAACTTCTTAGCCTCTCTTCTTTGGTGACCTTCACCTCCACTCCACTTTATCCCTCCTTTTCAATGTCCTGTCCCTAGGCATTATCACTACCCACAACTGCTCCACACCTACAACAACACATTCAGATATTCCACAACCTGCACACGCAACCTTCATCCTTCCATTTCCATCATTCAGTTGCTCCCTGCTCATGCTCTCATACAATATCCAAACCCTTGACCCTTCCATGTTCTCCTTCTCTGATAGCCCTCTTCTGTATTTCCCACCCTATCCATTTGAAATCCCATGGTGCATGTCTTTGTGTTTAGCCTCACATCCCTTGTTCTGTAGTCCTTCAGTCCAAAACTCCAACCCTGGATCAATCCAGCTGTCTGATTTTTTCTACACCCATATTTTGATGGCTAAATCTTACTATAGAAAGTCATTGTGCAGATTGGTGGTGCTACAAATTCACAGTCTCCAACTTCAATTGAACACTGGGTATTTCTTGCCAAATGTGGTTATTGCTCTTATTCTCCGGAGTGGTTCAAGCCTTCTCACTGTCTTCTGTCTCAGACTTTGACATCTCCTCCCTCCTTATCTTCCCTAATGTTTTCTGTCCCAGAGAAAAAGGAAGCATCATGGGGTGCCTGGGTGGCTCAGTCGGTTAACTGTTGAACTCTTGATTTCAGCTCAGGTCATGATCTCACAGTCGTGAAACTGAGCCTTGAAATTGGGCTCCACACTGGGCATGGAGCCTGCTTAAAATTCTCTCTCTCCCTCTCCCTCTTCCCCTCCCCTGCTTGTGCTCTTTCTCTCTCAAAAGAAAGAGAAAAGAAAAGAAAGAAGAAGAAAAGAGAAGAAAAGGGAGGAAAGGAAAGGAGAGGAGAGGAGAGGAGAG